CACGTGTGCTTCAGTAGTTGTGGCACACAGGCTCAGCAGTTGTGGCTCGTGGGCTCTAGAGCACAGGCTCAGTAGTTTTAGCGCACGGGCTTCGTTGCTCCACGGCATGTGGGATCTTCCTGGACCAGGGCTTGAACCCGTGTGCCCTGCACCGGCAGGCAGATTCTTAGCAACTGTGCCACCAGGGAAGCCCTGGCTGTGATTATTTCTCTAAGCAGAGTGAGGGGAAGGAGCCTCACCTGGAGTGGCAGGAGGGGGGGGGGGGGGACAGGCCGGGGTTGCCCCTAACCACTGCACAGCCAGGAGACTCGGCTGCCCTTTCGGGCCCCCGACTCCCTCCACCCCCTAACCCCTGCACCCAGCCTGTGCTGAGCCGACAGCTGACAACCAGCCCCTCTGACATTTAGGGAAAAATACTCAGAATCAAGAGCAGAAAGCAGAAATTAAAGGATTTTCTTGGTAAAGGTCAGAGCGTGTCTCTTATTTTTGTTTGAAAATGGTCTGTGTTGAACCATTATGACAAGGCTAAATGTGTTAACGGGCAACGGAGCAGGGCCGGCCACCCGCGGGGGGGCCGGGGCCAAGTGAGACGGCGCACAGCCAAGATGGCCTCAGCACCGAGAGCTCCAAGGCCGCTCGGAAGGGTCGTGGGTCGGAGGGCAGGGTCAGGCCGATGCAGAGCTGGAGCCAGCTCCTTCCCTGGGGTCTCGGAGGGCCCCCCTCCATGGCACATCCAGGCCTGCACCTTGTCAGGCCTCCTTCTGCCCTGCTGGGCCCGCCGGGGGATCACCTTCGGGCTGCTGGGCAGAAGAGAGCCTTTAGTTGCAGACGGCCCTGCTGAGGTGTGATCCACACCTGACGCTGGAAGGTTTTCATCCGCCACAGAGAAGGCCCATGCCCACCGGCAGTCGCTCCCCTTTCTCCCTCCCTGACCCCCGTCCCAGCCCCCATCTCGGTGGCTTTGCCTGCTCTGGCACTCGCCAGAGCGAGTGGAGTCACACCAACGGGGTCTGGCCCGGCGTGTGCTCTCGAGGGTCGTCCGTGGTGTCGTATGTACAGAGCATCGTTCTTTCCGTGGCTGCACTGCACTTACCTGTTCGCCTGCCGGTGGTTGTTTCTGCGTTTTGACTTACGTTGAATGTTGCTGCCATTAACATTCCTGTGCCAGTTCCTGTGTGGATGTGTGTTTTCACTTCTCCTGGGCACATACCCAGGAGCGGAATTGCCGGGTCACGTGGCTCACTCGTGAGGAACCGCCAGACTGTTTGCGCAGCACCCGCCGTGCCCACCTTCCTACTTCCCCGCGTCCTTCCCAGCACCGTGTCGCCTGGGTTACAGCTGTCCTCGCGGGCCTGAGGCGGGTCTCACCGTGGGCTCCATTTGCACCTCCCTAAAGACAGGTGGTGGTGTGACCGTTTGTCTGTATCCTTTGGGAAAAGGTCCATTTGGATTGTTTGCCCACTTTCTAACCGGGTCATTTGTCTTTCTACTGTTGAATCGTCAGAGCTGCAGGTGGACCCTGCACACGAGTCATTTTTTCAGACGTGTGTCTTGGCGGGGGCCGTTCCTCAGGGTCTCTATGGGCTGGGAGGAGCGTGTCCACCTTTCCCCGAGCCTGGGCCACCGCGTGGGTGGGCCGCAGGCGGCGCTGCTCCACTTCCTCGTGGCCGTTAACAGGAATCTTGGTGCAGCCGGCGCCCGCCAAGGCGGAGCCAGGGTTCCGGCTGGCAGGCGAGTTTGGGGGTCGGCGGGAAGAAGCCTTTCCTAGTCGGCTGCCTGGGAAGGAGGGGGCTCTCCCATGGGGCGTGTGCGTGTCACCGGGTGTGTCCCTTCCAGCCTGGGATTCCCCAAGCAGAGTGGTGGCCTTCATCAGGGGTGGAGCTGACCGGGCCGGATGGGCAGGGTGGGCAGGTGGTCGTTCCACAAGTGGGGGGCTGGCCCACGGTGGCCGCCACCCCACTTGCCTCCTGACTCCCCTGAGCTGCCCCATCAGCACCACTGCCTTGCTGAGCAGGGTCGCAGGCCACAGGCTTCTGTCTGGTGTACGACGGCCTCTCCGCAGGCCTGCGCCCCCAGCAGGCAGACCCCGGGGGTCCTAACTCACCTGGGATGGGCTTGCTGGCAGGTGAGGCCCACGTCGGGGCGCCATCTAGGGTCTGGGAGCTGCCGCAGGCCTGCCCAAGGAAGGAAGGGGGCTTCCTCGTGAGCCCTGCCCAAGTGTTTGGGCACCTTTGGGCCTCTGTCCACCCCCCAGCTGCCCTGCACCCCCGGGAGCACCTGCCCTGGGCTCGGCCCTGCTCACACCTGCCTTGTGACCCAGGCCAGCCCCGAGCCATCTGGGCCTCGGTCTCCCCACTTGCACGTGAGGGCTTGACCAGCTGGTTTGGGGGTCCCACCATGTGGCACACACGGTATTTAAAGGCTGGTCTTCCGAATCACTGGGGGACGGGCCCGTCTTCCTTCATGGCACCTCCCCAATCACAGGTGGCGCGTTTACGTAAAGAAGCAGTGAAAGGAATTGGCTTCTCTCAGGTTCTCCAGCACTGCCTGGCCCCCCACCTGCCACCCTTCAGCAAAACCCACCGAGTGGGCTAGCGCCCAGTGGTGCCCTCAGCTGGGAGCCCTTCCGTGCCGTGCCCGAGGCCTCACAGCCAGAAGGGGCGGGATTTGAACTCAGTTTAGCGGACTCCAGAGGCAGCCCCGCTACCGTGACAGAGAGCCCTGACGTGCAGCAGTGCCCAAGGGCAGTGGGTGAGAGGCCCTGACACAGCGGCCCCTCGGCCGTCCCCCTGGCACACGGGGCAGCGTGAGACCCGCCTCGGAGCCCCTGCAGCCTCGTGGCTGTCACAGGGCCCTCACGCCCGGCACGGAGCGTCCTCACAAGGGCTCGGGTCTGAGGGTGGACAGACCCGAAGGAGCTGGTGAGCTGGAGTGCACACCCCCGTCCTGGCTTCTAGGTTCCAGAAACGTGGGTGAGACCCACCACCCAGGAGGCCCGAGAAACAGCCTTGCCTGGGGGGATGTGCCTGGACTTGGGCAGATGGCCCGTCTGCGTCTGGAGCCTGGGGCAACAGGGGATTGAGTGGGGCGACCCGCCCAGGGCCCACCTGCTAACGGCATCTCCTGTGTCTCCCGCCCACCCTGCAGGCCGCGGGACCCTCGGGCACGAAGATGCAACTGCTGGAGACGGAGTTCTCTCGGACGGTGCAGGAGCTCATCGAGCTGCACCTGCTGCGGCAGGACAGCATCCCCGCCTTCCTCAGTGCCCTCACCCTTGACCTCTTCAGCCGCCAGACCGTGGCCTAGCCTGCGGCCCCCAGCCCTGCGCCAGCCGTGCCCTCAACTTCTGAAGGTGGAAGCAGGCCCGTCCCTTGGGGTCCCAGCCCCCCCAGGCCAGCTACCCCATCCACAGGGCCCGGCCTCCTGCCCAGACGGCCGTGAGCGTCAGGGCCTGATGGGGACTCCTGCGTGCCCCCCAGCCACCCCGCCCAGGCGGCCTGCACCTGTGCACAGGACCCCTGTGGGCGGGCACAGCTCTGGCCGGCAGGGTTAAGCGGCTCAGGGGTGCCCCTCCCCGACCCCTGGGCTCACGGCCACTCTGCAGGGACAGGCCACCACCTCGTCACCCTCCGTCCTGGAGAGCAGGTAGGAGGCGGCGGTGGGGGACCTCAGGAGCAGTGTTCTGGACCGCCTTCCTGTCCCCCCCCCCAGGCGCCCCTACCACACCGTGCTCAAGTCTGGCCGTGCCTGGACCTGGTGGGTGAACCTGGGCTGTCGGCTAAGTTCCCGGCGCTCGTGAAATAAAGGGTCCCCTCAGCTCCCACCCGGCTCGCTGTGTGTGCGTCTGAGCCCCTGGGCTGACGGGCTCCCTCCACGAACACAGCTCGGCACCCTGCTGTCCTGACGTCCCCGCCCTGTGTGCCTGTTGCAGGAGCGGCGGTGGGTACCGCCGGAGCCCGGCAGAGGTGGGTGGGAGTGGCCTCGAGCGCAGCCTCACTTAGGTGCTTGCCCCACGGCAGGTCTCCAGGCCATGGTCAGGGGAGGTGGGCGGGGAGGGCCAGCACTGGGTCCCTCTACGGAGCCCAGAGCCCTGGGAGGTGTGGCCTGTGCGTCTGGGGCTGCCCCGACCCCGCCTTTCACACCCCACCCCCATCACAGTCACTCTGGAGCTCGTTCTGTGAATGGGTGCCCGGACAGACAAGGCCCAGCCAGGCCCAGGGTCACAGCAAGGTCAGCACAGGCCCGGAACCCAGAGCCCCCCCGGCTGGTTTGACGGCCGATACGGCCCTGGGGGAAAGTGCTGTTCCCACTTCACAGATGAGAAGACTGAGGCTCGGCGTGCAGACTGGCTTCCCAGGGCCTAGGCTGCTCGGAACTGGACTCTGGTCCGGCTGGGGGCGTCCTGCTCTCCTCACCCCCTCAGACGCTCTGGGCGCCCTCGGCGCCATCTCGCGGGGAGGAGCGAGGCTCCATGTTTCTTTGTCGTCACGAATCGGGGGGAAAGCAGAGACACTCGCGCAAAACTCTGCCGAGCCAGGCAGTGGTCCCGGGGGTCCTGCGCTTAGTGAAGACCCCCAGTTGGGGGTTTTCCAGCAGACGTCAGAGTGCACCTTCCTTCACCCCTCATTTCACACTGGAGCGGCCCCCTTCCCGGTGCCGCGGACACACCAGCACAGAGTGAAGTCGCATCTCGGGCTCTGAGCCCCTCCCTGCGAGGCGGGTGGGGAGGGGCCTCGTCCGTCTCCCTCCCTCTGTCGGGACCCCCAAACCCGCAGTGGCGCTTCCCTGCTGCTTTGTGGGAGAAAAGGTCCCACAGATGATGTTGGGCCCCAGCCTGGGAGTGGGGGACCAGGCCCTTGTCTCGACTCTGCCCCCGTCCCCGGCGCCGTGGAGGGCTGTGGCCGGGCCCCCGCATGGCGGAGGCTGTGTCCCCGTCACCCCAGGCCTGGCCCCGGCCTGCCTCCCGTGTGAAATCGCTGAATTCAGAGGCCAGTGATAAAAGGCTCAAGTCAGAACTTGAGGCAAAATCAGTAGCCCACACAAATGCACTGCGAGGCCCTTGTGTGCGCCCGGCATGCAGATGGCACCTGCTAGATGGCGGCTCCCAGACGGGGCAGACGTGGCCAGTCCCCGCTCAGGGCAGGCGGGAGTGGCCGGCTGCTGCTGGGATGGCCCAGCTGGTGGGGTCACCCTGGCCAGAAGGCCAGGCTGGAAGCTCGTGGTCTCTGCCCAGGGGTCACCACAGGGCCCACGAGGGGGTGCGCAGGCCGGGCAGGCACCCCCGAGCGTGGTGGTCTCGGTTGCAAGGCCAGAACTGAACTCCAGGATCCCCGGCGGGAGAGGCGCGTGCCGGAGGGTTGGGGGCGGAGGGGTTGCGCTCGTGCCACGGCCCTGACTCCGGCTGGCGACACGTGGCCCCAAGGCCAGGTCAGCCCTCCCCACTGCCCCTCTCGTGCCGTGGGTCCCTCAGGGCCACACGTCCCCGGCCTCGTGTCACCTCCTGAGACTTAATCCCTGCCCGGGTCCTGCAGCAGCGGCGCTGGGCCCCCGCCCAGCACCCGGCCCCATGTCTGTGGGAGGACAGGGTGGGCGGCCGGCAGCCGAGCCTCCCCAGGCCCAGCCTCCCGTGAGCACCCGGACCTGGTCTCACCCCTGCCCTGGGCTCCTCACATCTCCTTCCTTGGCAGGGGGGATCCCTGAGGCCGCTTCCAGGTGGAAAGCCCACCCCGGCCCGGACCACCCACCGAGCCCCAGGCTGACAGCGCTTGTGCCGAGTTTCAGGATTTCCCTCCCGGGAGAGGGGCAGGAGGGGGCGTTCCCCCCCACCCCGGGGCCGCGTCTAGGTGGGACGGGGCGCAGCGGCCCCCTAGCGTCCTCCCAGGTCCGCTCAGTCACCTGCCGCTGAGTTTGCCAGCTGCCCGCCTCGCCGCCTGCGGGGGGCTCTGGGTGCTCTCGGGTGGGGAGCCAGGCCCCGGAAGGTTCTGGTTCTGGCAGAGACCCCACCGCCGCCAGCTCGTCAGTGGGCACCAGCGCTACGTGGTTGTTAAGCCGCTAATGACTAATTTTAAGGGATTAGTGCTACGGCGATAAACCGTAATTGCCAGGCTGGAGCGGGACTTGGCGTGCGACAGGCTCCTTCCGGCGTCCCCAAGGCTCCCAGGGAGGACAGCGCCGCCTGCCAGGGCCCCCGTGGGACCCACGCCTACCCCAGGGCCCGGCCCGCCTCTGCATCCAGAGGCGCCAGCTCAAGGATGTGAGCTATTCATCGTCTCTTTCCCCTCCCTGTGCGCCTGGTTCATGTTCTGGAAATGAGTAAACCTCCGGGCTTTCTTTAGCTCCTCATGACTCAGGTGTGGACCACGACCCGCGGTGTCACCCAGGAGCCGCCTAGAAATGCCGGGACCCACTGGGTCAGAATCTGCACTTGATGTGACCCCACGCGGTTCACAAGCCCCGTTCCAGTTTGCGAGGGTCCCCCACCCACCCGCCCCCCGATTGAAACATCCCAGCTTACAAAGCTCCTTCCCATCCCGTGATGATCCCGCAAGTTGCGTCTTGTCCGAGAGGAGGCCGGGGTTCGGAAACGGCAGGACCTGCCTCAGGCCGCAGGCAAGTCCGTCAGGCCCGGACCTCCTGGCCGGGGTCAGCAGCCTTCACGACCCAGAAGGGTCAGACCTGCCTGTTTTCCTCGTGGTTCAGTGTCACCAGGATGCCAGGAGCAAGGAAGGGGCTGGGCCTCTGTCCCCAGGCAGCCTCAGAGGGGTGACTTAGAGGTCCAGGGCGTGGAGTCTAGGGCAGGACAGGAAAGGATGTGTGCTGTGTGTGCGTGCATGGCTGTGTCACGTGTGTGTACATACATGTGCGCACAGTGAGGACCGGTGGCTTTACCAAACTGCTTAAATTCCTGCTTCGGCCAAGAGAGGGGCAGGGCCTTGCCCAGAGTCATACAGCACAGGGGGCCAACGATGGCGCGCGTTCTGGTGCCTGTCTCGTTGTGGTTTCCATTCTCTTCTCATTCGTCTCTGTTTCTTCAACTGCACGATTTTGATGCACTTTCAGTGTAAAAGGAAAAACCCTCAGCAGCAGAAATGTCAAGTGGAGGAAAAGGCCCCTTGGCCCTGCCCCAGCTGGTCCTCTGTGGTGGCCATGTGCACCTGACACACGGGCACCTGACACACGGGCAGACAGCACAGGGTTTGGGCTCACTGGGCTCCTGTGTGGTTTGAAAATAACTGTCCTGTTCCGCAGCTTGGGTTTTTTCCTCACTTAACAGTTGCCTTGGAAATTTTCCATAAAAGCATCTACTGATGTATTTCATTGGGGTTTTGTTGTTATTTCCAAAACACTTAAGTTTCATTGAAAACAATAACCTACAGAAACACCAGATTCTCAGTTTAAAGTAAAATTGACAGCATCTCTCAGAACTTCCGTACCTCTGAACCATTTTGGTCATTACTTTAAAAACAAAACCAAAACAAAAACTAATTTCCAGGTTCAAATTAACAAGTCTTGCCTGCAAACCTTTCTCTTGTGGTTCTGTCCCCACCCTCCTCGTGGCTCCAGATTTTCCAGAGTGAGCAGAAGGTTTGGGGTGATTTCCAGTCGGTTAATATTTCTGGGAACTGGACTCCACGGCGAGCCTCAGACACACCAGCCCTTGTCTACCCACCACGGGGGTCTTCTCCGCAGAACCCCGCCGCCTCGTCCTCCCTTGTGGGCAGAGCTGTGTCCCCAGATTCATGTGTTGAATTCCTGTGCCTCAGAGGTGACTAAGTTAAAATGAGGCCGTTAGGCTGGTCCCTGATCCCCTAGGACTGGTGTCCTTGTAAGAGGAGATTGGGACACAGACACGGGGGCCGACCGACCGTGTGAGGACGCAGGGGGGAGACTGCCGCCTGCATGCCCAGGAGGGAGGCCTCGGGAGGAGCCTGGATCTCGGATTCCAGCCTCCGGACCCTGAGAAACTCATTGTCTGTTGTTTAAGCTGCCCCGGCTGTGGTTGCTTGTTATGGGGGCCGGGGGGAGGGGGGAGGCCCAAGCTGACGCACACCTGGGCCAGCTTATCCTTCCACCTGGCATTTCTTTACGCATAGTTTGCTTATAGTATATCTGAGTTACATATAGTATATATAAAGTACACACTTTCCATCAGCTTTAGCATCTTCTGTAGAACTGCCCTGATGACAGAAATAACATGCAAGTCGCATATGTAATTTGAAATTTTTTAGCAGCCACATATAAGAAGCGGGTGAAATTAACTTTAATGAATATATTTAACCTCATACATCCAGCACTTTATTTCAACA